CGCGGAGGCAGCAGTCTCCACTCAAATCACACTGCACCGTACCAACCCCCCCCTGAACCTTCCTGCAGGTGGTGAGTCCACTGGAAAGTGCAGTGATTGTTAGATAAAAAATACAGATGTTTGTCTCCTCGCGTTCACTGATCCTTTAGAAATGATGCATGTTTTAAAAACTGACAGCCTTCACCTTTAAAAAGTTAAAAAGTAGACAATATGTTGCACTTCCTCAGTCCATTACCTGCTGAGTTGATAGTAAACCTTGTGTCTACATTATATTTGTCTTTGCCGTCTGACTCCATCACCTGTCTCCTCTCATCCTTCTCATTCATCTTTTTTCCCCCTCAGTTCCACGATTTATATCTTCAACAGCCCAACAGTTTTAACGCAGGCCTGATCTGATGGTTCCGACACTTATCCACGGCAACATCTCCATCACTGTGTTCAGTGATTTATTTGCCGAATCACAGCTGCTCTATCTGTCTCTGCACCTGGTTTCTGCTGTTTAGAGGCCCCAGAAGACAGTGGGAGTAGTCAGTAGAATCAGGAGTCCTCCGTGATTGATTTCCTCTGGTTCTCCTCACTCAGTCATGATAAACTCCTTAGAGTAGAATAAGTAACATCTGTGTTTCCACTTCCTCCAGCTGTTTTTCTGCTGCTGCCTTCACTGGGTCAAGGGGAAGACAAAGTGATGTAGACGGACGCATCTGCCTCGGTGATTGTGATGGCGTGAAACCAGACAAACGTCGTTGATTGAGTGAGGAATGACAGCAGCGCTATTTGCCGGACCATGCTATCAACAGCTGTCATTTTTTTTGAGTGCTATTAAAAACATCTCGATGATGAATAAAACATCTGCACAGATGTGTGAAGGCACGGCCAGAATTCTCTCATGATTTACGCTGTCAAATTAAGAAACAATGGAACTCAGTGAGCCTCGTGGTCTTCACTTAAAAATTTACATATTTCAAGGAAATGTTTCCCTGGCCTCTCCAGTAATTCTTAAAGGCACATAGTCTTTTGATAAACTTACAGAAGGTTATTATTATTTTACATTGATTCATTTTTCAAAAGAAGATTCAAGTTTTCTGTCATATACAGAGTAAAAAATAAAACACGTTCAACAGTGCAATGAAAATCTTTTGCTTTTTTCCTCTTGTACCAAATGAAAAATAAGAAGTATTTAAAAAAAGAAAAAAAGATTTTGAATCTAAATATAGCAAGACATTTTACAAAAATGAAAATACTTGGAACTGAGAAGATCTTACTGAATTGACCCTTACTTTCAGAAGTCATAATTTGCCCCAAAGTAGAGCAGAGGGATCTTTAGGCCGGGGACCACTTCCAGCACACAAACTTCCAATATCTAACCTCAAGGTAATTGAAAAAAAATATATTCTTTTTTTTCAATTATTTCAATGCTTTAGTTGGTTGTTTATTTATATTAAACTTAAACAAGTTTTTTTTTAAATATCTGGGTTTGATGTTTGCTGCACTTTAAGGACATTTACTTCTCTTTCACAGCTCCTCCTCCTCTTCCTCCTTGTCTTCCTCCCCAAATCTCCTCAGATATAATGAGACCAGATACAGTGGGTACGGAAAGTATTCAGACCCCCTTACATTTTTCACTCTTTGTTATATTGCAGCCATTAGCTAAAATCATTTAAGTTAATTCCTCATTCCTCATTAATGTACACACAGCACCCCATATTGACAGAAAAACACAGAATTGTTGACATTTTTTACAGATTTATAAAAAAAGGAAAACTCAAATATCACATGGTCATAAGTATTGTGTGTTCTTTGCAAAATAATGTTTTTTTATTGAAATGCCTTAGTTATTTTGTGGTAAAAGTGTTCTAGGAGCATTGTATAGACACGGAAAAAAGGCTTTCAACTGTTGAACAGTGAAGTTGACAATATTGCAGAAAAAATCACTCTCAATCAGTCTCATCAATCATCAATATAAATTGTTTTCTAATTTTGATCTCTAGTGTATATGTAGAATGTGACAGCCACAGGAAGTGTGAGGTTTGTGAATTTTGACACGCTGCATTTCTTTTCTCCTCATTTTATAAGCAGATCATGTCAGAAAATGTATTTAGGTAAATTAAATATTTCCTTCAATAACAATTGTTTAAGAGAAACATAATAAAAATAAAAATAAAACAAATAACGTCACTGTTTGATTTAATAATAATAATATAAAAAACCTCAGAATTAACTACCATTATGTTTGGCTTTATAAAATAAAGCCAAACATAATGGTTGAATTTTAAAGAAAACATTGGTTTTCAAAATGCAGTACTGAAAGTACTGGGGGGATGGAAGTATTGAGAAAGTCCTCAGTCAGCTGATCTTGGATGTGCAGTGACACACATCAGCAGAACAACACTCAGCTGTGTACCACATCAACAGCAGTCGGCAGTCTGTCCTCAAGGTATTATTTATTTATATAAATTAAGTATTTAATACTTAACATAAAAATATGCTTTTCATATTCCTGAGCCCTGTAATTTCTTATCTTTATAATTATAAATGTTTATTATACATCTTTATTAATATTATTATATTTTATATTAATATGACTTTAACTTTCAAGATTGGAAATAAATTGTCTTACATTTTTTCAGTCAATGGAGCAAAACATTATAAAAATTATTTTAACTTAAACAAGGGAAATTTTTTTTATCTATTTCAATTCTTGCTTTTTGTACTTTTATGCTTTTGCTTTGTTCAACTTTTTTAATTGCCAATTGTGTACCCTTTTTGCATTACTTTTTTTATATATCTTTTTATCTGATTGTGTTTATTTGTCCTCTTATCAGTTTTTGTTATGTTTCTTTTACTTTTTTATTTTTGTCCTTTTTTGGCTGGTCTGATGCTTTTTCTTTTTTTCCCCACAGATATTTAGAAAACAGATTTACAGTGTGAAGAAAATGGAAAATTTAAATGAATCGTTCTACACTGATGATTACAACTACACATACGACTCAGATGAGGCATCAAAAGAGGAGACCGTTTTTCAGCATAAATCCATGTGCTTTACAGAGGTTCTGTGCGTAGTTCTGCTGGTGATCAGCGTTGTCATTTTTCTGCTGGGCTTCTTTGGAAATGCCTTGGTCATTTGGATTTCTGGCTTCAAGATGAAGAAGACGGTCAATACCACTTGGTACCTAAGTCTCGCCATCTCCGACTTCCTCTTCTGTGCTTTCTACCCATTCAGCATAATAAACATGGTGATGGAACAGTGGATCTTCGGCCGTTTCTTATGCAAGTTCACCTCCTCTGTTATGTTCCTCAACATGTTCAGCAGCATCTTCCTGTTGGTCGTCATCAGCATCGACCGTTGCATCTCTGTCGTGTTTCCAGTTTGGGCCCAGAACCAGCGCACTCTCAGCAAGGCGTCCGTAGTTGTGGTCTTTTGCTGGATCTTCAGCATTGTTCTGAGTGTTCCCTCCCTCATTTTCCGAGACGTTCAGAGCCACCTGGGGAGGAGTATTTGCCATAACAATTATACAGTAAAACACAGCCACACATTTGTGGTAATGAGTCGTTTTGTTGCAGGGTTTGTGGTTCCTTTCATCATCATCATCATATGCTACTCCATCATCATCCTCAGGCTGCGCAACAACAGGATGGCCAAATCCAACAAACCCTTCAAAGTGATGACTGCATTAGTCGCAGCCTTCTTCCTCTGCTGGCTGCCCTACCATACGTTTGTTCTTCTGGAGCTGAACCTCCGAAACATTGACCACAGTGTTTTGACAGCTGGATTGAAAGTAGGCACTTTAATGGCTGCAGCAAACAGCTTCCTCAATCCAGTGTTGTACGTTTTCATGGGCAATGACTTCAAGCGGAAGTTCAAGAGCTCTGTGCTGTCAAAAATGGAAAACGCTTTGGGAGAGGAAGGTCGCACTATCAGCCGTTACTTGTCCAGGTCCAGCTCTATGGACGGCAGAGCATCCACGCACATTTAGACATTAATCAAAACAATGTGTGTAATCATGTATATTATATCTTGAACAGCAAAGTGAACTATGTTTCATTTAGCTGCAGATATTTTAGGGAAATGTTGCTGAAATTGTTCAATGGTAATTAAAAAAAACAGATCAATTTTGATTTTACAAATCTAATCCACATCTTCTCAACACATTAATGTTGTAATAAGGTTGACAGTTGGAATCCATTTCCTTGACATATAAAAGAAAATGTCGTCAGGCCAAATTCAATTTTAAACCTGTTTAAGGCAACTTGCCCAGACTGCTATTTGATTTTTCTGCACATCAAACCCTAAGCTGGTTGTTGTGGTTTGTTCACAGACATGAAAGCAATTTTCTGAAAGTTATTAAATGATAAACAACAAAACATGACAAACAACAAAATGACGATTGTTAATAAATGATTGATGAAAATAAACCTAAAACCCACTGTTACTACATAAATAATGTGGTGCAAAAACCCTGCTTTAATTACCAATACTTGTTTAAAGGTTGTGTTTTGTTTTGTTTTTCAAAAGTGAAATACTGTGAGGTAAATGTGCAATAAAGTTTTACATTCTTTCATATATTATGTTGAGTGTTTCTTCTACATTCTCTTGAACTTAACAAGAAAAAAGCAGTCTTCTAAGAAGTACAAACAATAAAAGTGTGTGCTAACGTCAAGTATACCATTATTATTATCACAATAACACTAGTAATAATAAGAGTACTACCACGATGACTACTTTAATTACTACTACTACTTCTACTACTACTACTAATAATAATAATGATAGTAATAATAATAAGACAAACACTGAAAGAAAAATCAATGTTGAAACAGTGGGACACACATGGCAATAGTGACGTATCAAAGTTTCCTTTGTTACTTCATCTTTGACTAATAATGAGTAATATTACACTCGAAATAATCCTATTCAAGTGTGATCCAGTAACTGTCATTCAGTAACATTATTAAGTCACCACCCTGACAGCTTGGATGTGTTGATTAGTTATGTGAAATATGCTGAATCATCTGCTTTTATCTAGTCCAGAAAAACAGCTCTAAATGGAAAACCTGGCCCAAACATAGCCACCTCAATTTGCCCATGTTTGTACCACAAATTTGACCAAAATGCAGCATGATTGCAAAGGTACGGATATGGTGACATGACAGAAGAGAGATTACACCAGAGCAACAGCCAATAAGGACTGGCCTCATCTGTTGCTCAATCACTGGTTCATTCACAAACATTTCTCACAAAAGAAATGTCATCACAAATTCGTACCAAGGTGGTTCTTCAGGCCTTGAATGAAAGCAACTCAGTGTATGTACATACTCATTTATTAGGGTTGATCAACTTACATTCATTCCATAGAAAATACATTCAAGTGTGACACCTATGCTCAGAAAGTGCCCTTCTGTCAATGAAAGTGAGAGCCAATAAGGTTTAAAGCGTGTGTTAAAAATAGGGTAACCTCCCGATTTATTTGTCGCCATACAAATATTTGTAATGTGTCAGCAAACATTATAAAAATAGATTTATTTCAATTTTCATTATTTTCATTATTGAAAATGAAAGTCATTTGATAATGTCTCCATTTCTCTCACTCACCAGCGCTTTGTTTATACAGCGTTTCCTTCAGGTACACATTTATGAGGTTCTGCCCATATGGTATAGAGCACACTCTGTACCTCCAAACGACAAGCTTGGCTCTGGAAAGGGAACACAATCCTTCACGTTAGTTATCAACCAGCATTATTTGTCTCGTAGCTCCTCTCATTACAAAGCAATAAAACAGCTTTTCACATTCGGGATGATTAACTGAAACTACAGTGCATGTGTAATGGAGTCTAAGGCTGAAGACAGCCTTGAGTCCGTGATTATAATCTCTAAATCCTCCGTGATCTTTGGGCCAAGTGTTGCACAGTAGCGTGTGCTTTTTGGATTTGTGTCAAGTCCAGTGTCAGGAAAAACAAAGTCAAAGCGAGTGCTGCACAGCAGAGATAAGTGAATGCTGCAGAGATCAGAGATTCTCCTCTCTCTCACTCAGTGAGTGCCTGCAAGAGGGATTATTCATCTTTATTTGAGTTTATTGACCTCCTTATCAGTAGAATATTCTCTATGTGTAACATATAGTCAGCTGAATAATTTAACACACACTCACATCATCAGGTAAAGCTGGATTATTGCATTTTACCTCCAGGCCAGCATTTCCATGTGGAACCCCTTTAGGTGCAGAGCAGACTGGAACACGGGACTCCTTTCAAACAGGTGTTTATCTGGCAGCTATAGGTTAGAAGGACTTATACAGTGTTACCCAAAGGTTTCATTTTGAGTCTATTAGAGCTGCAAAAGATGAAATATATTGTAAAATGAATTTCACCTAAGATGCCGAATTTGTAATAATTCAAACGACATCCTCAAGTAAACCGTATCTACATTTGGGAATGCTAACACAAAAATAAATAAAACAAATAGCATCACTGGATAGTAAACACTACAACAATTATCCTCCTTGGTTAATATGCGATTTTTCCTAGTTAGCTTGTATCCAGGTTTGAACGAATTTCCTATAAATCAGTATGTGTGTTCACCTCTAGCCATGCTGCTGTGACTGGGACATTTCTGAATGGAAAGTGTAACCAGTTGAACCAGTAGGTGGCATCCTTGCAACTCAAAGTCTGATAGTTGCTGGCAAAAAGGAAGAAATAAAGAAATGTTGAGAGGAGGGGCAGGATCAGCCCAAAGGCAGAAACAAGGGTGGGATACAGGCTGTCAATGGGTGGGGCGTGGCACAGTACCCTGGACAGTTGGCCGTTAAAACCCTACTGTGGATGCTTTGTCACAGTAAGTGAAAGTAAGGAAAAACCCACATACACACTGGGAGAAAATCCTCTCAGAAATATCGACCGGGAGTCAAACCAGTGAACCAGTCTTCCTGCTGTAAAAGCAAGTGTTCAGTGTTGCATGGTGTTTATTTAAACTGAGATTATGAAGTGTGACAAATGTATCTACATTTCAGTCTGATGTTTTAGACTGGTCTGTAATTTTTTTAAATGTCTAATTCCTGTTATTGCATGAATGAATCTCAGATTTTGACATTAATTTAAATAGAAAATGTCCTAATAATAATAATAAAACAACTGCTATGTACAACACACCCAAGTGTGGTATATACTGCAGCTATTAACCACAGCTGGATAACACACATTGTACTATTCCACTCGAGGACGTCTTTTCACTAACTAACTGTTAACCTATTATTAACTCACCCATGGGCCCACATGGACATGCTGACTGGGTATAAAAGTTTTGGGTCATGTAATTCCTATAAGTGGCATCAAGCAACAACATCCAGCAGTCACTTCTGCCTCCTTCATGTTAAGGCGTGTGCACATGCATAGAGCAGGATAAAAAGTGCTTCTGTTCTTTTATACATAGAAAAGATAAACAAACAAAAACAAACTTATTTTTTTCCTCATGATAAATAAAGATGCTGCCAAAACCACAAAAAAGGAGGGATAAAAAAATGACAGTAGGAGAGTACAGACACTTTAACTTCAACTACAATGACCTTAGAGGGAACTACTTAAAACAACCACTGAAATCATGTGAGTCTACAAAACAATGAGTAAATGAGGGAATCACAGATATCATCTCGGCATGTAGTCCTCAGGAACTCCAGACATGTTTCTCTTCTTCAAGACAGCGTCTACTGTTCTGATCAGTTCATTGATGTCTGCTCTCATTTCGCTCGTGTAGGGGGGTCATACTCGAGTTTCCTCAGCCCTGATCTTTTAAAGTTTCCATCTTTCTGGCCCTCCACACAGAGCAGACGTTCCTCTGATACCTTCAGACCCAGAACTTGGATCATGCCCTTCAGCTGGGAGAACAGGTCTCTCTTTAGGTTCTCAAAGTGGACCACGTGGACACTCTTCCCATAGTTCAACCAGTCCAGTGTGTGGGAGGCCCACCATGGGGCGTAGTTCTTCACAAACTCAGGCCATTCTGCCGGACAGAGCAAAGATACAATAAGATATAACCAAACAAATGACCAATCATCAATTTCTTCCTACAATATATACTGTACATATATATATTTATCTAGCTTGTGTGCTTTTATTCAGCTATTTTTTTTACTTTAATCTCATCCAATATTCTAGTTTTATTAGAATATTGGATTATAGATTTGTTTGTAATGGTTAATATCAGCTCACTATCAATACTCAATACAATATAGAAAGCAAATCTGTAATTCTTAACCTAAAAAAACTAAATATTGATAGTGATCATCAATTAGTCCCTCTATAGATAAATTACAAAAATAATTAAATTTATTTTTTAGCATTTTTGGTTTTATATGAAAACCATTTGTTTATACTCACTAATAAAACACCACAGCAGATGTGGCAGTAGCTGTGCTGCAGAGTGCACATCTTTACTGTTGTGAGAGGCTGCGGTTACATTTTAAAAAGTCTGCTGAGTTTGCAGTGCTGTCCCAGAAATCACAGACTGAGGACATTTCAGCACCAGAGTCTGCCAAATATTATATTCTGCAACTAAAAAGCATAGGTAGCAACATTCTGACGTCTGACCACGGCTCTGGCCAGTCAGTCAGGATTTGTTGAAGATCTATAAACTTTGTGTCAGTCTGTCAGACACACAAGAGGCTAGAGTTCGATTCCCCAGTTTGTCTATAAGTTTATTTCCCCACTTTTACTTAAATAACTTTGCCCATGGTTTGGTCAATATATGATTATTTTTAAGTAATGCTATATATTTTATGAGGTAAAATAATATCTTTTATCAGTGATGTCCCCCTGTAGGCGAAGACTGTGGAAGAGCATCAACACTGACGGACTGCTGTTATTGAAGTGAAAAAACAAATCCGAGTGCTGCTTCAAATAAAGGAGAATTGATATCTAGTATTTATTCTTTACGGATTTATACAGCAACCGGCTGTGTGCTGTGCATTCCGTATCAAGTGCATTAATTTACATTCAGAGGAGTGTTTCATCAGAAAAGACTTAGAAAACAATTTTTTTCCACTACAGTAAATCAGTGTAGAAAAACTGCTTTTATGACTTTGAGCGAGGAAGAAAGTCATTATAATATGAAAAACAATGTTTGTTAAAATGATCCTCCTCAGATTAAAAAGACACCATTAATCTAAAAGCTAATTTGAGTTTGGTGTGATGGACAGGACCAAGAATGAGGTCATTAGAGGGACAACACAGACAGGAAGGTTTGGAGAAAAAGCTAGAGAAGCCAGATTGAGATGGTTTGGACATGTGCAGAGGAGGGACAGTGGATACATTGGTAGAAGAATGTTAGAGATGGAGCTACCAGGTAGGAGACAAAGAGGAAGACCAAAGAGGAGATATATGGATGCAGTGAGGGAGGACATGCAGATAGTTGGAGTCAGAGTGGAAGATGCAGAGAACAGGGCAATATGGAAATCAATGATTTGCTGTGGCAACCCCTGAAAAAGGGACAAAGCCGAAAGAAAAAGAAGAAGAGTATTGTTATTGTGTGTGAACTCAGCTGTCCAGCTGCTCAATTCTTTCATTTCTTGTTTTTTTGGAACCGAAACTTTGATTCTTGCTTGGAACATGGAAATGGATTTGACATGCCTTCAAACTGGAAACTGCTTGTCCAGTCTTATTGGCTCAACCAGTCAAAACCAAAACATTTGTCCTCAAGCTGACGTGAGTTCAGTTTTTCACCTAATTAATTGCACTTATAGAACAATGGTGTTTCTGTTCTTCACCATAGTGTTGGTTCATTGTGTTGGTTCTTTGTGGATAGGTCTCCATTATTGGGGGGAGTTAAAAACAACATTTCTTAGTCCATTTGTCCTCACTTTAGACTGAACAATAAAATTAACATGAGTGAATATACATATTTAATCAGAGTTGTGGATTAATCACGATAAATCCAGATCTAATTCAACATCACTGAATATGACAAAAGCTTAAATGTTTTCAGTATATGACTGGAACAGAAAGACAAATAACCGTAGGTAGATGTTTGTGTTTCATATCTGGTTTTCATTAGTGACTGATTGAAACGATGTTATTAATACTGTAAAATGTCAAAAAAAGAATTTACTCAAAAGCCAGACTTAAACTTTAAATTTCCACAAACACAAGCTTGTTGAAAGTTTACTCATGTCATAATCAGCTTTGATTAGAGTAAGGATAAGTGTAGAGTTTGTATATTGGATCTACAGTATGTGTCATTCTGTGCATGTGTATATGGTAAGTTAACGTCAAGATCCCCATTGATATACATATTAACATGTTTTTTGTAGTTACCTTTTCCTTTCCAGTGAGCCTGCGAGGCAAACCCAATGTGACCTCCATATTTTCTGTTAAACTCTGCCATCAGGGCTTTGTAGGGGTTCCGGATCATGAGGATACTAGAGTCGAAGGATTCGATCTCCTTCCTGCCGCTCTCATGTGTCTTGATGCAGATGGTCCTCCCACTCCTCCAGTGATCACGCTCCCCTTTAAATCCTGAGAACCCACAGGTGGAGCACTGTCAATATTGTTATCCCAAAGGAATCACTACACAGTGTAATGATTAACTCAGTGAAAATAGGTCCTGGTACTACAAATTCCTAGTACTGTGATGATGATAAATCTCAGATTAGGAAGCTGTTCTTGTAAATACAAGACCTAACTCAACTTTGAATTTTTCTCAATATATTTTACACACCCCGAATGAATGTGCATGTGATTCCAGTAAAAAGGCAAAGCATGGTCCCAGTATAGGTAAGATATATAAAGTAGTACAAAAAATATAAAAATATAATAAACATATGGTCATAAAATGTGACTATGTACGTCTATATAGAAAAATATAAAGTGATGGAGATGCATTTGAAATGTCCAGAGGTTCACAGTGAGGTTCACCTTTATTGTAAAGATAGCCATCAAAGTAATAGCTGCCGGTGTAGAAGCCGGTGGCGAGCTCAATGAGATGGCGAGCCCAGGTGTTACCAGCTCCTGGGAAACTGGCGAGAGCCACCAGCTGCTTAGCACGATTCTGGAGGAAGTGGCGGTCCATGCAGCGGTTATCTAAAAGAGGAAGAAGACAAAACAAGAAAAAAGAATAGAAACAGAAGAAGAAAAAGAAGAAGACCAATGAACACTTATATTAAAATATTTCTAGGGCTAAAGGCCAAGATGCTGCCAAATATAAGTTATAATAGCATATGAGCATTATAGCATTATAAAAGCATTTAAAACCTGGAAATGAGCAAAAAGGCATTTAACACGAAAAAGAAAAGGTCAAATACTGAAATAGAGTGCTTGTTTTGTATTGCATCGTGTGTGTGTGTGTGTGTGTGTATGTGTGTGTTTGTGTTTGCCTGCCTCACTTCTGTGTATATAAAGCCAGTGTGTCGGTGTCAGTGAGTTATTTGTATTTGTTTTGTGCAGACTTCCACACATATTCATTTCTCTTACTGCAGCATGTTTTAGGTTATATAGTTTGTGTGTGTATGTGTGTGTGTCGGTGTTTTCTATTGACTTCTGTCTGTGGTTTTGCCATTCTGTGTCACAATTGTCTTTTCGATAAACAACAAAAACAGCTAATAACGGTGTAGCTACCGATCATGACATAAGAACAGTGATATAACAACAACAACGATAATTGAATCAATCACGATTTATGATTGTACGATTTAACAAAGAACCATATGCAATAATGGTATATAATAATACTAATAATTATAGCTCATTTTAGATTTCATAATATCCACTAAAATATTTATAATAATTAACTAAAAGAAAAACATAATGATAGTGTAAAAAATAATGTGTGTATTGGATATGTGGGCTGTAATCTATTAAGTTATGTATTTAATTTACTTAGTTGGAGGATTGCACTAGAAAGAAGAGAAATGAAGGTCAGTCGCAGCAAGACAGAGTACATGTGTGTAAACCAAAAGCAGAACAGTGAAATAGTGAGGCTACAAGGAGCAGAGGTGGTGAAGGTGCAGGAGTTTAGGTACTTAGGATCAACTGTTCAGAGCAGCGGAGACTGTGGAAGAGAGGTGAAGAATAGAGTACAGGCAGGATGGAACAGCTGGAGAAAAGTGTCAGGAGTGATCTGTGACAGAAGAGTGTCAGCTAAGGTGAAGGGAAAGGTTTACAGGACAGTGGTGAGACCAGCCATGATGTATGGTTTAGAGACAGTAGCAATAGGCAGAAGACAGGAGGAGGAGCTGGAGGTGGCAGAGTTAAAGATGCTAAGATTCTCTTTAGGAGTGACAAGAATGGACAGGGTCAGGAATGAGGTCATTAGAGGGACAACACAGACAGGAAGGTTTGGAGAAAAAGCTAGAGAAGCCAGATTGAGATGGTTTGGACATGTGCAGAGGAGGGACAGTGGATACATTGGTAGAAGAATGTTAGAGATGGAGCTACCAGGTAGGAGAAAGAGAGGAAGGCCAAAGAGGAGATATATGGATGCAGTGAGGGAGGACATGGAGATAGTTGGAGTCAGACTAGAAGATGCAGAAAACATGGAGAGATGGAAATCAATGATTCACTGTGGCAACCACTGAAAAAAAGGGACAAAGCCGAAATAAAAAGAAGTTTTTGCTGCTATGAGCATTTATCTTTAGTAATAATCCAAACCACAGATTTAATCTAATTAAATCCTCAGATACGAAAAGTTAAAGAATTAGAAGTCAGGATTATTTGAGTCTTATCAATCAATAATAACCATAGGCCTCAATTCAAGCAGACAGTGAATCTAAGCCGAGTGTGTCAAAGATTAAAGACCGCCTCAGGTCGTCTGTTGTGTCTGTCTATGATGAGTGAGTCTGTCTGAGCTCATCTGTGGAGAGAGGCTCACGGCAGAGAGTAACGATCAATCATTGTTTTAATAACCTGTGGATGGAACACCAAAAATCAATTACTGTGATTTTTATACGGCCTACCGTAGTGTTAATAAAAAGTATAATAATAAGTATTGATCATTAATCAGCTATGTCAAAATAAACATGTCAATTGCAATAATTAAATTCTTAAAATGGATCCCATAACATTTTGAATGCATTTTAATGCAGAGTGGCGGACATTTTCACAAGCACACTGTGGGAAAAAGATTCACAGAAACAATTGGTTTTAAAATACCCATGGTTGTGGAGGCCTTCACTTCAGATCAGTAAATAACCCTATGGCTGACAAGCTAACTGACACAATGGACAAATAGATGGCAGCTAAATTTAGTTACAAATAAAAACAAGTGTAAAACACCTAATTTACGTGCTGTTATTTGTCTTTCTGTCATGTTTAGAAAATTTTGCTTGATTACTCACTTAATTAATTTAATCATTAAGCAACAGCTACCCTATAAGTAATCAGATTAAAATTGTTGATCATATGAGACTAATAAGTATAAGACATTGACTATGTTCCAGGGCTCAAATTGGAATACTAACTCACTACATAGAAGACTCTTGTTCTGGGTTGGCTGTTAACTTCCCTATGAGGTGACTGTGGTCAGTAGGAAATAGAAGCCATCTTTTAACTAGAGGTTTACACCTCCTAGGCCTACATGCCAATTTGGCAAGACATGTAACCTCAAGCTGCTGGTGTTGGCTGTGTGGCAGCGTGTGAAAGTGTGGCTCAACGTGAAACTGTGGAGTAAAAGCTTTTGACCAAGAACAGCAAAGTCATGGACTAAGAGTCGAGAAAAGAAAAAAAACAATACCTTGGACTTGTGTCTGATAGACTACAAAGTACTCATCGTTACCACAGCTCTCAAACTCCTCCCCCTGACAGCGGTGCAGACACATGTCCTCGTCCTCCAACTCATGGAGGGAGAAGAAAGGTGTGGGAAAACCGCAGTGACACCAATCTCCAGCCAGAACAGCCAGCGATTTCTCCTGAAATATGACTGCTGTTCAATAAACTGCAGACACACCGACAGGAACATTGACTCCCACTAAACCAAAAAGGGAGGGGGGTGGGGGGTCTCACCCTCTCTGTGCATATGTCCACGCACTTGTCCACAGACATGTTCAGGATGACTGCGCTGAAGGGGAGTGCCAGTGTGACATTGTCCGGACGATGAAAACAACCCTTGAAAATTGCACTGCCGTCTGAAAGAGATGAAACAAAATGTTATTCATGACCAGGAAGGAAGAAGAAAATGACTGGGTGCATACAGAGTGACAACTGACCACAGTTTCCATCAGCTTGTCCTCTGACCACTGACCCCTGATGCAGAGTTCCCACTGGTGTTCCAGTCTACTGAGTCTCTCGCTGAGCCAACAGTGATGATAACCTTTAACCTAAGGTCTCCTTTTTGCTTTAAGAGTCGGGCCATAAATCACCTCAGCAGAAAGAGCTGCTCACTAGGAGCTGGCTTTTTTAACCACTTTTAATATGCTCTCACTCAGGTGTGCTTACATAATTACACATCTAGTGGGCAATAATTTAATTTTAGCCACTAGGTCGCATCAGAAAAATGAATCTGTCAGGAAAATGTATGCCTTCGTACATACTCTAATATCTCCTTGGAGATTATCAGGCTTAACCAAGCATTTGGAGCATTTTGAACTCAGTAAGTATCAAGTATTTTTTTACAGTTAGGAGGTGCCACCCTGTCCCAGCGTCGAGATGAAATAAATCTTCAGTCTCCACATATCCTAGCATGACACTGACGTGGCATGTTATCTCCTTTTTTTCCTTCGTGGTACTGTATGAACATAATTGTTGTTATTTGGCTGCATAATCCGTCCTGAGTCTGTCTGAGCTTAAACTGCACCAGAAATTTTCTCTGTATACTGATGGACAAAGTGATACATTCACAAAGCCAAGTAGGAACAAGTGAGGCCCAAAGAATCTGCACTTACTCATCTGCCTTTGATAAAAAAAGAATACTTTATAAGGTATTACTGCAGAGATCTGCGACGGGGACAAAATAAACTGGATGGGGAACAGTTTTTCTGATATCAATACAGAGGAGAATCCTGGTGCAGCTAACCAACAACCTTCAGGTTCTGCAGCAAAGCTTTAGATATACTGTATACTGTACTATAAGCTAACAACCTGTGGTCTACATTAGCATAAGTTATATTTCAACAATTGGCATCTCCCAAGGTCCTTTTTGATGCTTGAAAAATGTTAGCTGGTAAAATAAAAAGGATGATGCAGTAGATTAAACGATCTAAACCCAGAGGCAAAATCGAAAAGTTCCCTCCCAAATCTTGTGAGTCTAAAGATAAATTCAATTGTGGATGTTGAAAATCTTCTTGAACCCTCTCCTGTTTTTGAAGTAGAAATTAAAGAAAATGTGTGTGCTCAAAGGCTATGGATATAAAGAAATGCGATGGGTCGACCCTTTCTGGAAATAAATCATAATGAGCCAGACAGCTCTTTCCAGAGGCCAAGGTGAGCTACTAACAGTTCTCTCCATTGATGTTAATTATCCTGCGAACACAATGTGCCGCAATCAACTATGAAAGAGAATTGCTGCAGGCTTCACATGTTGAAGGTTGTTAACTTCCATTCTGAATGGATGCTGGAGAAAATCTCCACATCTCTTCCATGGTTCCATCAGTCTGTCACTGTCAGCAACGCTGCATTAGAGGCTGTCTCACTGTCAAATGACTGTTATTAATAAAGTCGGGAAGAAAGCAGACACTTTGGGCATTTCACTGTGACGGCTGAGTGTTGACTGAAAGGATTCATCCAGGGCTGCGCTCCTCCTGGGGTGTGTTTTCCTGTTTAAGTTCATACTGATCATTTCAGCAACACTGAACCCTAACAGGATCTGATCGTCCCACTGTCATCACTGCATCACTGGAATCAGTCAAAATTTCTTTTTCTAATAAATCCATGTCCTTGCATGTTTACTCCAAGCTTATTTAACGCATAGAAAAAATAAATTGCTAGAACTGAGTCAGAAGGTTAATGTTCTGGATGAACTATTAACTATGCTCTCCATTTAGATTTGATTATGCTGTGTCACAATCAACTGAGCTTTTTTAACCTCAGTCTAGTTTTTTTTGTTTTTGTTCTGTTGGCATAGTTTTACACCCAGACAGCTCTGCTGCATGCATGCAGGCCTCTGACCAGACACAGAGTTGTCCCCAACTTTGGATTAGTGGCCATGTGGGACTAAACACAGAGCTGTTAGAGCATGTAAAGGACTAGCAGCATTAAAACTAAGCTAACATTACAGTAGGGACCCAGTCACAAGTGATTCTTCCCCAGCAGTCTTCTTTCATTACAGTTATTTACACATTTAAACAGGTTACTTGTACGTCTCTAGAAATAAATAATCTAAATAGTGCTCAGAATCTACAAAAAAAAAAAAATCATTCAAAAAAAATTCAAAAAGTTTTGCTGAAACATGCACATTTGACTTTTTTGGATCTCAGCAGGAGGGTGATATCTAAAATCCTATTTGAAACAATATTTATAATGACGATGACGTGTCGGGGGGAAAGAAAATATTAAAAGGCTACGCCAACACACAGGCTGCATTTCCTCTTTGTTTTTCTGACATATGGCAGAGATGAGGATCAGAGGTGAAGACTCCAACACGGAGGAGCTGAGTCAGCAGCCTCAGTGAAAAGCACACGAGACGAAAAAAAAGCAGAAATGGAAATAACAACAAACAAAGTGCATTGAACTGTGAGAGTAAGACAATTATGCTAACAGCCCCTCCCAACTGATTACTTTTAGAAACTTTAAGGCAAATGAGAAAGGTAAATTTGTTAAAGGGATTTCCCTTTTCCACCTGAGAACAAAAAAAAACAAAAAAACAACAAAATTAACAAACTTTAACGTCACCTATTTGGGTATAGTCAACAGGCCTGGTAACTAACTTTTCTTTTTTCTCGTCCTCCCACTTCCTGCAGGAGGGCTGCGAGTGTGTGAAGTGGCCTGCGTAGGTAGCACAGCTCTCCTGGGACTGATGTAAATACAACAGAGCTGCTTGTTTCCAAATTTGGTGTTCGTCCAAAAATAAGACAACTTAAAAAAAGCTGTTTTATCTTTGCACCAAAGAAGTTCGGGCCTTAGAGAAGAGTGTGTAGAAACTTAGTCTGTGGAAACTTCCTTTATCAGCTGTGCAGATATAAGCTTTTAAAGTGTTACACCTGGCAGGTGAGTAAATATTTCATTTGATTTAATTCCAAAAGGTACAATTATTTTTTAAATAATTAAACATATTAATATAAATATTATTTTTGACATTTTATAAGGGCAGTGGTGGCTTAGTGGTTAAGGAAGCGGACTTGAGTCCAGAAGGGTTCAGGTTCGAAGTTACCACTGTGGTGCTCTGAGCATGGCTCTGTCCCCACACACTGCTTAAAGCTTCCACCACAAGCTTAAAGCTGCCCACTGTTCACTTTGGTGATGAGTTAAAAACAGAGGTCACATTTGGTTGTGTATGCAGTGTCACTATGACAATTAGTTCACTTTCACTTAAATATTATATAAATGTATGTGAAATTCCAAATTCTGACTGACTTTTTAAAGCTTTCATTTAAGAATGCACAGATCCGCATTTTTTCACTTCCGATCCAATTCCGATATTTTGGGTATGGATATCAGCCAATACCAATACTATTCCGATACTATTGCTTTAATATTATTATTATATGCATGTATTTCCCAAAATGCACCTTGAGGTTAGTATAAGGTCAGAAAAGGAAGTCAAAAATACAGGAAACCATGTTAACAGAAAAAATCCCATCCTTAAAACAAATATGTCCCAACTGTATGGATGCAACGTGTGCATCTGCGCGAGTATACACCCTTATTCAATTCATTGCTGGCTACATAGTCAATCAACATGTAGTTCCACAGGATGTGACTTTTTTTAGTTAGAAAACATTAATAATTGGAGCATTAATAAAAAAAGTGTCCTCTCCTGTCCTTGTATCACATGTCCAGGACGAGCGTGTGTTTCATTGTTCATTGTTTCACTGTTTTTATTATAGGCCGCTGAGCTGCGTACGAGTACGTACTTCATCTTTTGGGAGTTTACCTTGCTTTTGTAACGACTCCAGAAGTGACTTCCGGTGGCGGTTACGTCTTTCTGTCCCATGGTGCATTCACGTCCTCTTTGTTGAGGTGCTTTTTATGTTTAATGTAGTGGTATTGTATGAAGAGACGATTACACCTCTCCGAATTTCAGCTTTGCAAATATCACATGTTGCTGTGTGGTTTTCGGTCCTTTCTAATATTTCAACACAGCGGACATATTTCTTTGCAGCCTGCTATCTGGCTGCAAAATGTGGAGTGGATTCCCTGTACTGCGGTGGCAGTATGGAATCACAGGAAAGTGATTCCACAGTTTACAGTCATCCAACTGTCTGATACCTGCCGGTGGGTCTGTTATTCTAAGGAGGGATCAGATGGGCCCCATTGTAAAAAAAAAAGATTTTTTTTTTTTGTAAATTCTCATCTAGTTTTCATTAATTAAAAATAAATTAAAAAATCCAACTTTTTTTCATTTTAATCATGAAATACTGTTTTAACTCTGAATAAAAAACAAAATCCATATGGCCCTCATCCTATTTCGCCCAGTTATCACTCCTGAATTCCAGTGTAAAACCTGAGGGGATTTAATTTTTAAATGAGAGTCAGACTCACAGCGTCGTGCCGACTCCTGGCTCAGCTCCAGTCTGTAGATAGACAGTCTGTTGGCTCCTCCACATATGTTGCTCTTCTCTCCTTTACACTCCATGTTGCATTCACTTTCTGACGCGTTAGGTGCCTGGATCTTGTGGCTGCAGTAGCACTCGGCTCCAAACTCCAGGCCAGCGAACATGTAACCTCTGGTTAAAGACAACGAGACGAAATAATCCATCATCGTTGACATGGACAGAAAGGAAGAGTCGCCTTCATTTAGGGCAAATATTCAAGTAGGTTATGTGACAAAATATTTCCATCAGGACAGACCTTATTTCCGGCAAAGGGTTTGAAACCCAGGACACCTTGTGGATATAATTACACCCGCAGCAGTGACCTCACATACTACAAATTCTGCAGAGTGTCAATCAGAGGCAGACATCTGTGGGCTGCTGCCCTTCATTTCTGCATGCAGGTTTTCATTAAGCTGCTGCTGCTCTGGCAGAGGAGGCAGGAGGCACAAGAAGGAGGAGAAATAGGTGAAAAGGGGCATTGCTCTCCCACTCTCTGCTCCCATATTCCCCTCACTCTCTGTGAATAAGCGATGTGTGTAATTTGATGCATTTGATAGAGCCGCCCCTGAAATTCCTCAGGGATGAAAATGAGGTGAGAGGAAAGATGGCGAGGTTTTCAGAGAGGAGTAGACAGGATGGGAGGAAACAGGAGGGCAGTGGAGAATTGGATTTGTTTTACTTTCCCCAAGGAGGTCATTTATATCAATCTTAATCAGTCTCTCTCCCATTTCATTTTCGCTCTTTTTCTATTAAGGACAGAGTGGTAAACTGATACGATACGACGAGTTAAAGATATGAACACATCAATACACCGACTGCTCTATTGATTTAAATGCACATTGAATCGTGGGACAGTGTGATTATGAAGCCGTGAATCAGTTTAATGAAGTCCCTGCCTCGTTTTTTCACTTCCTCATTGTCAAAGTCTGCAAGAGTTACTCACAAGCAACTTTTTTTTAGCACCGCTGGGTCTCCCTATTTTTGGCAGCTACAACATAGAGATTAAAAGTGAGCTCAGGGAAGCATTGGTGTTTGACATCACCGATGCAACTAGACCTACGGCAATAACAGAGACATAAAACCTAATGTCTGGGATCAGACAGGGACCTATAAGTAAAAGACTTATGTAAACTGTTCTTGCTGGGTTTTTTTAATGTATGTGTACTTTGTGTGTAGAAATTACCAAAGTAAAAAACCAAAATTCATGCATAGTCATTTGAAACCTGTATAATAGTGCAGTAATCTGCTGAGAGGCTCCCCCTATTTTGTATTTACTGTTTTTCCATCTATCTCTATTATAAGTGGTGACAGATGATCTGTCATCAGGTTTATTTTTTTTATATCTAAAGACATAATGTTTAATTGAAATACATCATTAATAGAAAGTTAATTGAAAAATAAAAATGCCATCTGTGAATGAATATGAATGCATATTACATTTGAATCTTCTTTGTTTCATTTTATATAATTGTTTTTTTCTTCTTGTGTCAGATTTTAATCCAGTGGCGCTTTGGCCCAGAGGCAATGTCTCTGTCATTGGTGTGGAACCTCAGGGTTCACCTCCTGGGCAAGATCTGGACTCACCACCTGCAGGAAGGTTCGTATGGTGCAGTGTGATTTGGGTGGCGGTCGTGGAGACTGCTGCCCACGACCGCCCGGTAATGTATAAGTGGATGAAAATGGATGGATGTCCAGATTATGATCCATGGCCAATAAAACCCATCAGTTCCCCAAAAAACATCAAGCTCATCAAAAGAGAGAAATTATAATATTTTCATTGAAAGGGTTCTTTTTGTTGACAAACCAGCAATTTTCTTAATCATTGATTAATGTAATAAATCAGTTTTTTCAAATCACTTGACTCCTGATTGGATTCATAAAACTGTTAAAATGATACGTTTGGGCTGAACCCTATCACATGACACCCAAGTACAGGAGTGCACTGACACTGTGGAGGACTCAGAGACCGTCAGTAAAGATTTGCAACAGTCTAGACTCTCTACTTGACCCACTTGAACCTTTTTATTCTAATATCATTCATTTTATTAGTAGATTGAAACAAGACTCTTAGCTTCTGTTGGTTTTCTTTATCAGTTGTTTCCCAGACCTGTGTTCAGCCTCACCACCGTGAAAACAGAGGGATATCTAATAAAAAAAAGTGTTTTTCCTTCTTTTTTTGCTGCTGTCATACCTTTCTGCACAGTTGTCCTGGCAACGGAATACCGTCATTTTTTTGTAGTCAAAAAAGGAAACGCCTCTGAGTGCTCTTTTCAGTGTGTCGTCGACATAGCAGCCGAAGTACTTTGCTGAAAGAGAGACAAAGACAAAAAAAAACAAAAGTTAATTAGATTACTAAACACATTAAATGTGGGTTTTTTTCAAATTACGTTTTAAGAATTAAGAGAGTTGGGAAGGTGAATACTATCAGTGAGTGGTGCTTTATCCTCAGTGCAGAAGCTTGCAGTCCACCAGGAATCCAAACTGGGGCAGAATCTTCACTTATTTATAAAGACACACATCCCCTTCTAGTGGCCTGTGAGTTGTTAGCAGTCATTTCTGCATTTATTTCAGAAGAGTGTGTGGGGGCTGGGCTTCAGTGAACCTCTGCAAAGTCTTCAGCACTTCATCGACTTTAATCAAAAGCACTGCTCCCCCGTTGGAACCCAGATGATTTGGCGTTTGCCGTACCTTGAACAAACAAACCTCTGGCCATCTGTGCTGTGCCATTACCACTGTGAGCGGGCGTTCATCTCTAAACGAGGCCTAGTTCACTCCATTACTTTAATTGTTGTGATGCACTAAAAGCCTGCATTTGAGCAGCATGTGCATGTGCACCAAGGGACTGTGTGCTATAATCAACCTCCAAACTATTGTTGAGATTTAAAATAATCTGCTTTGTGGTTAGAGGGAAATGCTGATTTAATGCAAAAGCCATATTTGTGCCTGTCTTGATACGAGGGTAAATGAGAGGCGATGACTGTTTTCCACAGTGGGCTCCATGATTCGTTGTCTTTTAAAGCAGTTTTCCAGGTGTTTTTTTTTACTCCTTCTGACTATATTTGTATGTTTGTGTTTAACAAACAATGTGTTTAAAAGGAAATTGTTGTGTCGGAGAGAAATATTTATAAAGATCATCAAACATTTACAATTCTATTCAGTAATTATTATTATTATTATGATTCATTCATATATATATATAGTTTTATTCATGTTTATAAATATAAATCTATTTATTCAAATTTATAGTCACATTCTGGTTAGTAAATGTGTGTAAAATTACTTTCTAACCCAGTTAATGTAATGTATAGGCTGAATATGTGATGAATTGATTTTGTAACAACAAAGTGGTTATTTTGGATCATTTTAATGAAACAAATACTAATTCACACACTAGAACATTTGAGGGTTTTCTTTTATTAATTTTCTGGACTGTATTGTTCCTCTATATTATGACACTATTAGTTTTTTTTCAGTTCATAGTTGAGGTCAGTTCAGTTCTACCATCAGTCTCTGAAACTCTTTTTTCTTTTTTCTGTGTGTACTTACACTACAGCCATCAACAGGGATTTTTGAGAGTTAAACCACAGTCACATCTCTTCGTCTGATCCTTCAGTTAGAAAAACTTGCATGTTTTCCTGTCCCTTTTTCCTTCACCATCGCTTGCTTCCGTTTGCACAACATGGCACAAATGTATGTGCAGCTGGCTGTATCTCATTCTAAGCTATTCCCTACAATGACATCCAGAGGCTGACAGAATGAGCACATATGAAGTCCAGGGACTCGGAAAAAAGACTCTTAACTTGCTGAGAGGCCAGTAAAGACGTCAGAGTAATGAGAGGTTACAGATGATGTATAGAAGCAAATTAATGCTTAAGGAAGCAGTGAATTACTTCATCATCACCTTAAGCTGCTGTCCGGTGAGGTGCGATGTTTCAGGGAACGTAAGAGAGGTAGACGACAAGGAGGAAGTGAGTCAGACAGAGGCAGCTTCATTTGATCAGAAACCTAAAGCCCGAAGGTACATTGTAAACATATTTGTTTTCCTGACCTTGGATGGGAGGGAAAAAACCCAACTCAGCAGTGTAGCGGTTAGAAAAACATTGTTGTTCCAGATCTGACACTATAATGGACAGCGGGGCACCACTGTGACTCAGAGGTTTGGTAATAGAATATTTTATATATTTTCTCTGTAGGTTTGATTCTCTCCCAACTGAAAGAGTCTGTTTCATAGTGGACTGAAATAAAATTATAGCACTAACACAGGGTTGAGGGACAGAGAGACTGACAGAGAGACAGAGAGACAGAGAGAGGGTGACACACTCCCTAACATGGCACATTTGATACTTATGTACACTCTCCACCTTCCTTTGCTTCTCTGCGTGGAACCATGTAATCATGTAATCACTGCAGCCTGACGGAGCAAATCACAATTATTCACCACCGCTACATTTGTCAGCTACACGGTCAAGGACAAAATTGCCTGGGATTTAATTGCTACTGTTTTTGCCAAATGCCTTCATTTCACAAAGGGTTGGTTTTACTTAAACATTCCTACTTTTATATTTGAACAATAGAGCATTTTCCATTTATACACAGAATCAGAACTATTTTTCCAACTTAAAAAGGTAATAAAAAGAAAGTCTGTTTATATGGCCCTATGATGGACTGGTGAGCCGTGCAGAGTGTGCCCCACACTCACCCCCTAATGGCTACTGGGATTGGCTCCTTTTTCCCCCTCCCACGACCTCGGGGAATTTCTCAATGTTGACCCACAGAGAAAAACTGCTGGATGTTGTGTGTTGATGCAGTGATGCTGTTTGAATTTGATTCTGAATTGTCTGGTTCTGAAGAGTCAAAACTAAAGCCTGTAGTTCTGAGTTGAAGGGACATATTTAATCCAATCTTAAGTGCACTGATCTACAGCTAAGAAGAGTGGACACCAATAACAAGATCTGAATAGTTGAGACCTGCAAGAAGGAAAGGAAAGACATGGAACCCAAAGAATTCTACTCCAAAATAAAACATGGAAATGGAGTCCAATGTTAACAAGATGTTTCACTAATAGACAGAGAGTCTTTGGAGGGTGGAATGATATAAAAAAAATTAGAAATAATTTATTTTAAAAAAACGTCAAGTATAGAAGCAAAAACCAAATATTGTTTATTAATTTGTCTTTGGGCAAAAGAGCAGCTCTGGAGTCTGGATCAGCTTTAGCTAGTTTTCTTTAAGGGAAGGCAGTATTTTATCTCCCCACCGTTTCTGAAGTACTAGCTCAGTGTGTAATATATATTTTGTTTTTCCAAACATATTTTGCCCTTCTTTTTCTTGTATGGACTATAAATATGTTCTTTACTTTTTTATTTTAGTCCATCAAAGCGAAATATGTTTTGTGAATTTGGGCTTTATTACTAAAACTGACTTGGCTACAAGAACATCAACTCTGGAAGAGCTTTAGAGATTTTCCACAGACCAATGGGCCGGTGTGTCTTAGGAGAATGGTCTGAAACTTGTTTTAAACTACATTCAGCAGGGGTGCTACACAACTCACTGTTAGCATTAGGGATGCTAATCAATTCAATCTTTGATAATTTTATTCAGACCTCCCAGCAGTACATGCAATAAAATCAAATAGAACATCTGTACTAAAGTTTAAATATATAGTCATTATCAATAATCTCATCATGAGATAATTACATCCTCTAACAGTCTGAAAGCAAATTAATAAACAAGATGGATCCTGTGCTATCAACTATAATGTCACCCCCCGTGTGTTTCCACAAGACTGTGTGATAGGATCTAACTAAAGGGCTTTAACGGTATATTATCTTTAAATGACAGCCACAAAAAAAAATAAATAAATAAAAAAATCGTCTTTATCTTTTGAGTGAGACGCGGCACCACAAGGCGAAGCTGCAGCAGAGACATGGAGGGTGATATCTTACACAGACCCAATGTGGAAGAAGTCAAGAAACTAAATCATGATGATCATCTCATGCTATGAGACCATCTGGAGAGCCTTGTTGATTAAAACGATGCAATTAGTAATTAGGAACAGCTTTGGATAACTTCCATGTAATTATTATGGCATATTGGGCAGAGACAGTGCTGGTTTGTTTGTCACAGTATCAGCTTGTGCTGAATTTTATTCCTATTTGCACAGAACCTGAGTTGGTATCATCCTGTAGTAATGGTGTAATAGATATTTATACAGAAACTCCAGGACTTCATTTGCGCAGAGAGTAGTCATAAATGTTGCAACACTGCAATTATTTTTGCAACTCTCGGCACAGCTGTGATTATTCTGCCTCCTTTCTTATGCCTGTTTATTCTTTTTGTACAAATATGTATTTTCGCCAAGTGCTTATGGCTATTTGCACGTTTAATTATAACTATCAGATTTCTTACACAAATGGATTTTTAATGTGGTTAACAAAGCTTGTGGCGTCTGACAAGAATTCGATGCAACCACTGCTGACCGTCAGACACCTACCGACGTCATCCAGAAACACATTTATTTACTTTTTTAGCATGCTAGCATGGTCAACATATGTGTAATATGAATTGGAATAAATAATGATGAGTATAAATAATGTATTATTTCAATGTAATTAATGGCTGAACTTTCCTCGTTATGGGAAGTGAAACGGGAGGCGAGTCTTTACATTAGTAAAGACTCGCTCCAAAGATAAGCCCCAGTCAGTGTGCTCAAATAAGAATAATTAAGAAATATTCAGCTCTGCACTGATTTCCTCACTACTCCATTCAAAATGTTTATCCAACATCTGGAAAATGACCACAGACATATAGACGTTCATAAAACAGCCTAAATCAATAGGGTATCTCACAGTAACAGACCTATTCTGCTCAATGAAAGCAATAGGGTGGAGGCTGCTGGAGACTATAGGTTTCTGCTGCACTTATTCTTAATGTTACCATAAACTCTCCACTATCTCTGACAATCACACACACATGCACACACACACACACACACACACCAGCTGATCATTTTCACAGGCATGTGAGGAGGAAACGTCCATTATTCCATGATATAAAATTAAAGCCTCAGCCAGCGTGAACGATTCAAACAATCCTACATGTAGACACACATACAAACAAAGCAGTGTTAAGAGATTTCATTGACAGGGTCTGACTTTAGGGGTCAGAGGTCAAAGTGATGGATTTGTAAAGCATTTAGTCTTTTATCTAAAGAAAATTCATAAATTAATTTTTTATCATATACAGATCTACAGACCTGTCCTTGTTATGACTCACTTGGGTAATTATTGACACACTGAATACGTTTTTCCCACCTGCTTTGACATTATGAGAATGGGAAAACAGAAGAAAAAACACATGATATCAGCGTAACTCACCTCTTCCATCTTCTGCTTCTTTGGCATTGCGTCCTTTTAGTGCACGGTTCCAGTTGCTGGTGTAGTCTCCTCCTCTGGTCTCCGCCTCCTGACCCTCCTGGCTTTTTCTTTTCATCCAGGGGGGTCCGTACCTGCGTCCAGACCTGTGTGTTTCTTTAAACACTCTGCTCACAATGCCAAGCCCCCGAGCGTGTGACGCCGAGGTCCGACTGTTTCCCTTCTCCGATGCTGCCACAGCTTCCTGGCTCCCTCTGCCTCCGGGGCCGCTGTCATTGATGAACCCAGAGTGCAGGAAGACCAGACTCCCAGCAGTCAGGTAGAGAAGGATGAGGGAAAAAAATCTCACAGGTTTCCTGCGAAAATAGCGCTGTATCTTCAGCAGAGTCTTGGCCATGCTGACTCCAGTCAGAGACGCACTCTGTCCAGAGATGAAAACTCATAAAGTAGAGCAGAGAAATCTACTGCAGCTCTCCCTGCTTTTGCCCAATTGGGCTATAACTAAAATGAAAGGTGTCTTAATCTCTCCGCGAAGGTCATCCAAAGAAAAACATGTCTTTTCTGTCACATGCAACTCTATGGACTCATTAAAGGTGCTTTACAGCAATCCTTGATGTTGGTGTCCACAAAATAGTCCCCCAGCACCCAGCTGATGGTCCGACAGGCTGGACATCTAGCTCCACAGTCTCAGTCTGTGAAGTGTCGGTGACTCAGATTGAAAGGTGATCACTCAACACTGCATTGACTCCAGTTATCATCCCACCAAGACGCCACATCGAACCTTGCTGCAGCACTTTCTCCCACGCTGTGCAGGAGGAAAAGGGTTTTATTTACCAGTGGAGCCGAGATCCTTTCACCTTTGTGTGCTCCACTATTCACCAAGACGTTCTAGGAAAGAGAGGGTACGTCCCACCATCTGGAGTAAAGATACACACAGAAAAAAAGGCAAATACCTGAGTAGGTTTTATCACAAATGGAAAATA